GTGAAGGGACCTGACAGTCACCAAATGCCGACAGGCAGCTTTGGCTGCCTTCATTTAATAGGTGGAGAAAGTCAGGCTCAGATAGGTGATGTCCCCTGCCTCAGGACCCCCAGCCTGCTCAGGAGGCAAAGAGAGGGACTCAGGAGAATTGGTGCTGCCTGGCTTCCAACTTAGTGAACTTGGATCTGTCGATACCAGTTGTGTCCCTGGTACATGATGTCACCTTTCTCTGTCTCAGTATTCTCCTGTTTAAAAAAAAAAAATGGGGAAGGGGAATTCATAAAGCTCTTGGGATGTAGCTGGGCCCAGAGTGCTGTGGCTTTCACTGTAATAAGATGGGGCACAGGGGTGCTGAGGTGAGCAGGAGCCTGGGGACTCTGATGGGAGTTGGAGAGCTTCCAAGGTGCTAGACAAAGCTTAGGAACCAATGGGACACCACGTAAGACTTAATTGCGATGCGCTGGGGTTGGGGTGAGGAGGACAAGCAGCCTGGGAAGGGATTGCTGGGCCGGGTAAGATGGGATAATTGAAGTGGGCTTAGGGCTTAGGGAAGAGACTGAGTGTCCAAAATACCTAGGTGGTCATGAGGGAAGACGAGAGATCTCTGGGGCCTAATGTAGGAAGAGGAGTAGTGTCTCTCCACAGTCCTCTCCTCCCTCTGTTGCTGTTGTTTCTTCCCTTTCCCTCTCCCTTCCTGTCACCTTGTCACCCTTGCTAAATTAAAATTTTATTTTAAATTTTATTTATTATTTTTATTTTATGTGTATGCGTGTATTGCCTGCATGTAGGTAAATGCACCCATGTCGTGCAATGCCTGCGGAGGTCAGAAGAGGCTGTTGGATCCCCTGGGACTGGAGTTGTTAGCTGCCACGTGGGTGCTGGGATTCAAATCCAGGTCTGCAAGAGCAACCAGTGTTCTTAACCCTTGAGCTATCTCTCCAGCCCCTAAAAATTACTTATTTTTGTCTTATGTGTATGAATGTTTTACCTGCATGTATGTAGTGCACCCATTTGTGCAATGCCTGCAAAAGCCGGAAGAAGGCGTTGGGTCCTCTGGAACCCATGTGGGTGCTGGGAATTGAACCCAGTTCCTCTGGAAGAGCAGCCAGTGCTCTTAGCCACTGAGTCATCTATTCAGCTCCCCATGACTTTCTGGTCTCCCTCCCTCCTTCCCTCCATTTTTCTTTTCTTTTCCATTTCCCTCTCCTTCCTTCCTTCCTTCCTTCCTTCCTTCCTTCCTTCCTCCCTCCCTCCCTCTCTCCCTCCCTCTCTCCCTTCCTCCCTCCCTTCCTTCTTTCCTCCCTCCCTTCCTGCCTCCCCTAGCTCTTTTTCCATCTTCCCTTTCTTTCCTCTTTTCTCCCCTCTCTCTATCCTCTCTTCTACCCTTTTTATTTCCTTTCTTCCTTCCCAGTCTGGTTCTGAAAATCCATCAAGGAAGAACTTGCTCTCATAGACATGTTGTGAGTGACCTACTTGTGTATTTGTGGTTTACCTACCTGTAGAAAATTTATACCCAAGATCTCTGCATGCTGTAGGCAAATGGTTTTTAATTCAGCTCCACAAATATTGACTGTGCTCAGGCTAACTGAGTGTACTTTGTGCTAGAGGTGCCCAAGAGAGATGCAAATGGGCAAGGCTGGTTCTTAGAGGAGCCAGTGGGGGGCCCGTGGCCGATGTTGGCATAACACAAACTCACCCTCCTTGAGGATGCTGAAGGGCTCTCTGTATTCTATGTTCCCTAGGCCCATTTCTCTCTCCAACAAAATGCAAATAGGAGCATGGGGCCAGTTTTGGAAGCTCTTAACAGGACAGTACATTGTAGGCAGAATCTACAGTCATGGAGTTGAGTTTGACCTGTGGGGCCTGGAGAGGCTGGGAGAATATCTGTTGGCTTGCCTGTCACGGCAGGCATAAGCTGGGTTTTAGAACTTTGTATTGAATTTTTCCTTTTCTATAAATTTTATAAGATCGTCAACATAAGTAGGACTTTCTTCTCCACCAGTTTTTATTTTTCCAGAGCCATACCAGGCTTTCAGCTCAGTAGACGAGAGATACATGTGCATGTTGGTTGCATTTGGAAGGTGAACTGATCAAGCCAGGTTCTACAATGATCACAGTGCCATCTTCCAGAATCTCTCAGGCAATAGGGAATTTAGAGAAATGACAGAAATGAGATTTGAAGAGTGAGCAGGGGGCAGAGCCAGAAAGGCTGTTTCCCCCACCCATTTTCCATTTGTGGTTCCTGGGAGGACCACATTTCCTGGCCTAGGTGTAATGCTGAACAGCCTTGTGACAGGTCGTGGCCAATAGATGATGCACAGAAACCACAGGTGTCTCTTGAGGGTTAGATCACCTCATTGTTTGGGTGAGATTTCCCAGAAGTCCTCTCTCATCCAGCCATGCAGCCAACGTCATTCTAGAAAGCTCTGCTTTGTCTCATCTATGAAATATACCCCAGGTGCCACCCTTCTGCCCACCTACATAGACATGGGGCAGAGGGCAATACAACCCAGTTGCACTGAAGTTAGGGCTTCTTTGTTACTGAAGCATAACTTTGTCTGTCTTGACTAGTACCTTGGGAAAACAAAGCTGATTTTATTTTACTTGTTTTGCTGTACTCAAAACTGAACCCAGGACCTCATGCATGCTGGGCGGGTGAGTGCTCTATCACTGAGCTACATCCCCAGTGCCAAAAGCCTGATTTGAGAGGCAGTCCTCTCCTTACCTGCTTCAGCATTCTAAAGATAAAATATTTTTCTTTCTTGCCATCTTATCCGTTGATACTGGCTTTTATTTTGTTAACATTTGTTAGGAGGTGCAAGCTAAGGGGGTAACAAGGTTACATTAGGCTAGGAACAGAAAGAAAGTGATGACTTTTTTTTTATAGTTAGTGACTTTGTGGCTTGACAAGGGAATGAGAAATGAGACCTTTCCCCTCATCCTCACCGTGCTGAGTATAGCAGGGTCACAGACCATTGCCACCAGTTATAGCCACACACATTAGAGGCTCTACCTTAACTTCCTAGTCCAAGAGAGCAGCACCTCACCACCTCTGACTTCTGCCTGACATGTGCCAGTTATTATAGAGGGCATCAGAGAAAGAGACAGAGATGAAGATAACCTGATCTTCCAGGAAGAAGCTCTGTCTACTGGCACAGTGGCCAGAGAGTTTGGATCTAGAGCTTACAACAGAAAAGAGGAAAGAGGTAATTCAGATGCGATTATCAGAGGAAACTTCTGGAAAACCCTTTCCCCCCACTGTATGTGGGTGCCAATACCAGATTGTGGGGATGCAAGAACAGATGCCTGGCTTGCTATCTGCTTAGCATGTAGTCCAACTCAAGCCTCTAGAGCCCACAAGGAATCACATTCCTGACTCCTCTTGGACGTGGGCTCCCAAACTGCTTTATTACATATGTCCAGGTTTGGTGGTCTTCTACCCTGAGAGGTGAGAGGATGGTGAGGCAACATGGGTGCAAATGCCCTCTTTACTCTGCTTGGCAAAACCAGGAGTTAAATAAGACCCTGGCACCTTAGCCAAGTGCAGCCTTAGGCACTTTCCCAGACATACTCCTTCAGGGAACCCAGGCCTTGGTGGTGGAGGTGGTGATAGAGGGGCATAGCACCCACTCATGACCCATCGCCTATGGAAACAAAATCACAGGAGAGAAGCTTGTATTGGAGCTTGTTCAGCTTGGCTGCCTTCAGCAAGCCACTCATTAACAAGTTAGGACAAATTAATACAGTACAAACCGGCTGCATAAATATTAAGGTGTAATGGATTGTTTTCTGTCATCATGGGAAGGCTGACTTTCAGCTGCTGGGTGTGTGTGGGAGACTCTGGGGGAAAGGAAAGGGGTTGCAGAGGTGTCTTCTGGATGCATGAATCGCAAGGCAAGTTGCATCTCGTCAAATTTGCAGGGAGGATAAGGTCTATTACATTCAGATACAGTAAGAATTTATCAAATGCCTCTGTGGTGAGAGGCACTGGAAGGTATGTTGTCTTATTATCCATCAAGTTAGTACTGTAAAAATGACTTGATAAGGCACAAAAGTGAGTCTTTACAATAACATTGTTTTCCTGCTATAAAAGTAATCAGCATGCCATTGACCAGGGTCCATTTTATTGATCTACAACCACCTCACTGTGGCATGGAGTTGAACAGTTAACCTCAGAACACAATGTAGGAAGGAGCGCCATCTTTCTTTTGATCTGCCAAGGCAAAGCTGGCTGGGGTTTTTCCAGCACTTTGTTGGACTTGGATGACCATCGCCTCTCAGGGCATCTTTTCACATCCGCCGGCCTTTTCTCGCGCACTTTGGATAATTTAGAGATAGCTCTACCTTTAGATGAAACAGTGTTTTAAGCCCCACAAACCCCCTTTACTTTGAGGGTGCATGTCAGAGACTGCCAAAGTCCCCAGAAAGCTCAGCTGTCACCTGACTGCACCCTGCGTTTTCTCTAACCTTGATTTAAGTCAGCTCTCTTTAACCTCTGTGCAAATACAAGCCCTCAAGCTGGGTTGTCCTTTGAAAGAAAAAACGGAAGCTGCCCAGTTTTGAGCATCTTGAAAAGGGCACTCGCTCTTGTGGGAGCTTGGGACAACTTCCCCGTCTATGTTGCCCAGGGATTTAAAATCCTCGTGTGCCACCAGAACCCCCCAAACCCCTCAGCCACCTAACCCTCTCCTCTCCACTCCTCTCTCCAAGCCGGAGAGTGGGTGGCAACACCGAGGTGATCTTATTCGTATTTTTTTCCTCCGAGTTTTGTCATGGAAACGTTGACACAACCTCCAGACAGCCGCCGAGCTCTGCCCGGGGACTGAGGGCTTTTGGGACCCTGCGGGAGCGCGCTGCGCACTCCGGACTCCCCGGGAAACAGCTGGACGCGACCATGTCTCAGTAGGGGCGGGGGGGAGGCGAAGCTCCGCCCCGGCGCGGCCCCGCCCTCCTCCGCTCTCCCGGCCGGGGGCTGCGAGTTGCATTTGGTAAAACCCAGCCCCGGAATATATAGATCACTGGAGCGCAATGAAGTAGCCTTTGGAGACGGAGGGAGGGAGGGGGCCCGTCGAACAGCCACCAGACCAGCTCTCGGCTGCAGGGTGGCAGCATCATCCGCGTCTGCATCCCGGCCGTTCGGCCCGCGAGGAGGCAGCAGCGGCCGCCTGCGCCTGCGGAGGAGACGGCGGAGCGGCGCAGAGAGGCGAGGACGATCTAGGAGCGCGCGGCCGCCGGCGCCACGCATCTCCGCACTTCCACACCAACTCCTGCGCCTTGCAACCCGGAGCCCGGGACTGGGGGCTCCCAGAGCCTCCTTGAAGCCAGCGGGATCCAGCCCCACGAGCCGGGCCAGCCCGGCTCCTAGTCCCCCGGCTGCCGGTCCCTGCGGCGGGGTCCCTGCTCCTGCGCCCCTGGCGCGTTTCCCGGACAGCCAGGTCCCCGCGGCCAGGACAAAGCCATGAAGCCGGCGCTGCTGGAAGTGATGAGGATGAACAGAATTTGCCGGATGGTGCTGGCCACTTGCTTGGGATCCTTTATCCTGGTCATCTTCTATTTCCAAAGTATGTTGCACCCAGGTAGGGGGCGCGTTAGCGTGGTTTTGTTGGATATTTTCTTCTCTCTCGCTTTCTCTGCCTGCTTTCTGCTTCTTCCAACCTCACCTCTTCCCCTCCGGCCTCTTCGCGGCTCCTTGCTGCCGGGATCCGCTGGGTCAGGAGTTAGAGTGGGGAAGAGGAGGGAAGGTGTGCTCTTTCCTCTTCCTCCCAGCTCCAGGCGGGCCGATGGGACCGAAAGGGAAGGTAGCATGTGTGTCCCCCTCTTTTCTTTCTTTTTCTTTCTTTCTTTGTGTATTGTATGTGGGCTAGGTGGCAGGGAAAGGTAGGGGTCGTTGGAAGCTGCCGGGGTCAGGGGTTCGTGGGAAGAGAATAAAACTCGGTCCCCTTTGCTGCCGGGGACTAGAATGAAAGAGGTCCCGGGTGCCGGCTGCTCTGCGCCCGGGCGCGCAGCCCCTTCCTGGTTGGGGACTCGGGGGCGAATGGTGCACACTCCGGCTAGGTAGCGGGTCGGTGCAGCAGTCCAGGCAGCCGGCCGGGAAGCCCCAAGGCAGAGTTACCACGTGTTCCCGGCTCCGCATCGCCGAGCAGGTGTGAGGAGAGGTTGGATGGGCTCCGGGCATTGCCCTCCATCAGGCTCTGGTCTTGTGCGAACACCCCAGGGTCCAGCTCCGCAGTGACTTTGCGGCTGGTGCTCTGGGGCCTGGCCCACCTCCTCCCCATTCCACTCCCGGAGCTGGGGATTCCAGAGCTCCTGGGTCATGCTTTAGCCACCGCAGTTTTTGGAACTACTTTGCCCTGTTCCTGAGTGCACAGTCTGTTGGTGTCCCTTCTTAGGTTCTGAGCATCCAGAGTCCCCCGGTGGTGTGGGAATGAACCCTTCCTCCGATCCTCCGAGGCTTAGGCAAAGTTCCACATCTGCAGTGGGCATAGGGAAAGGACTCAGGCTCTCCACTTTCTCGAGGGACCAGAAGGAAAGTTTGGGACTTGAGGAGAAAGGAGTGCCCTGGAGCTCAGCGGCCCAGGCTAGTGCGGCTGTAGCGTAGAAGCCCAACAGGTAGGTAGGACCTTCCGCGAAGGTTTCGGATCTTGCTGCTCACTCACTTTCAGGACCATTTCTGCCCCATTTCTCCCGGATCAGCAGACCTGTACTGGGCCACGTTGGCTCCGAAATTCATTTTTTGACGCCTCCGAGTTGCCTTTCTTAGCGTAGTCACAGCAATCTTTGCTTTTCTAATTGCAAGGAGGAGGAATGGGGAAACGCATTTCCTTCCAGGGAAACAGGGTTGGTGTTTTTTGGGTTTTGCCTCCCGCCTTCTTTCAGTGCGTGGCTAAAGCCAGCAGCGAATTCATCATTTAGTCTCGGTGGATGGCAAAGTCATGAGGCTGTTTTTTGCATTAGACAGGGCTGCCGGCTGTGAGATTCCTTGACAGCTCAGGGACAGACTGGCCCCTCTGCCCTCTGGGGCTAGGAGCAGTTGTTAAGGCGGCCTGACTGCCAAGAATATGACCTTATGCTACCACATGGAACCTCAGGACACCCGAGCCAGCCCTGTAAGAGATGGCTTTTGTTCGCAGCTGGGTATTTTTAGTTTCATGTCAGCAAACTAGAGCGGTGTTTGTCTCCTTACTCGAACCTGTGGTTGTGAAACTTCTAAGGGAATTTAAAAATGGACTTTGCTGGCATTCTGGGTTGCAAGAAGGTGGGACCAGACAGACGGGCATCTCAGAGTGTCAAGCTTCTGGGGCCTCCAGAGGCCAGGCCAGATTCTCTCCCCAGAGGGGTGGACAGGGTGGTGCACAGTTTAAACAAAGGACCCAATGATTTGGTCTAGACTCCAGAGCTTTGTTCAGGCCTATTCAAGTTTTGCTGGGACATGGCACGCCAGGTAATTCTAGGCAGACATGCCTGGAACAGGGATTAGTATTAGCCTCCAGCAGCAATGTACCTGAATTTCCCTGTGCCTGTGAGTTGTCCAGCACAATTCCATTTGCATGAATCCCATGGAGAAATAGGAAATAACTTCATAGCGGAATTACTGGGGAGAAACTTACAACTTGTAACTAGTGCTTGGTTAACATTTCTAGCCTTCATCAGATTATTAAACGGACTTGGAAGTGGTTTCAGGTTTTTTTCAGTCTAGCCTTTTGGAATGACAGAACCTTGTCTAAGCTTGTGCTGGTCTGAATCTGGTCTCTTTGATCCTGCCCTGCCTGTCCCTTTCTGGCCCACTTTCCTTCTCCCAAATGGCATTTGTTTATAATTCCCATCTCTAGGAGCTTGTTTTTTTGATTCCTTCCCTCCAGTACATGGCAAATATCACTTTCAAAACATTGCACTGAATAAACCTGCAGGTAGTTTAATTAAAGTTCTTCCTTATTTGAAATTTTACACAGTTCCATAGAACCCCTGTCAATACTTTGGGGGCATAAAATATGCTTTGAAAATAATATTAAACATTTTCTTTTTTTCTTCTTTTCATTTTGTTAACGTCTATTGCTGATGACAGCTGAGGCTAAATATTTTTTCTTTCTGCTTTAACAAGAAGCAACATTTTTCTTTTTTTTCTTTTTGGTCTTTTTGAGACCGGGTCTCCCTGTAGCCCCACCCTAGCCTGGAATTTACCATGTAGACCAGGCTGATCCTGAACTCACAGAATTCACCAGCCTCTGCCTCCCGGGTGCTTAGATTAAAGGCACCATATTGGCTTTTTTAAAAAAGATGAATTTTATGGCCGGGCATGGTGGCACACATCTTTAATCCCAGCACTTGGGAGGCAGAAGCAGGAGGAGCTCTGTGAGTTGGAGGCCAGCCTGGTCACCATAGTGAATCCAGGCCAGCTCCGGCTACAGGGAGACCCTGTCTCAAAAAGACCAAAAAAAAAAAAAAAAAATGACTTTTTTTTCTTATTTTTTTAAAAAAGTTTTTTTTTTGTTTTTTACTCTGTGTGTGTGTGTGTGTGTGTGTGTGTGTGTGTGTGTGTTTGTGTGCCACATGTATGTGGGTGCCCTTAGAGGCCAGAAGAGGGCATCAGAGTTCCTGGAGCTGGAGTTATATATAGACATTTGTGAGCTCTCTGGTATGGATGCTGGGAACTGAACTCAGGTCTTCTGCAAGAGCAGTATGTGCTCTTAACTGCTGAACCATCTCTCCAGCCCCTTAAGAATTTTGTTTTTATTTAGGTGTATGTGTGTGTGTCTATGTGTGTGGATGCCATGTTTGGATGGGTGCTGGGGGAGGCCAGAAGATTTGGGATTTTCTGGAGCTAGAGTTCCAGGCAGTTGTGAGCCACCAGATGTGGGTGATGGGAACTGAACTGGGTCCTCTGACAAAGACAGCAAGCATTCTTAACTGCTGAGACATCTATGCCTCTAGCCCCTACTGCTTTGAATTTTAAAGTGATGAAATCTTTACATCTTTAAAGGGTTGATGATACAGCTGATCTTTTGGCCTGGTTTTGCATTTTAAGTTTCTCAGGATCAGCCTGGGAGAGGTAGAAGGGACCACAGCATGGCTCAGATTGTGTTCCAAAAGAATTTGGAGCCCTCTGGCAGCATACCTAACCGTGAAAGAGAAAAACAGTACTGTGAAAAAAATAGACTCTAGACTTCCTTTCTGGCTAGAGGATGTGAGGAGGAAAAGAGGAGAGAAGGCAGTCCAGCCCACGGGTAGGGGCTTGGTGAGTACCCTTCTGATCACAGATGGTAGGGGCCTAGTGGGTATCCCCTCTGATCACAGATGGTAGGGGCCTGGTGGGTACGCCTTCGATCATAGACGGTAGAGGCCTGGCTAGTTCCCCTCTGATTCTGTTCTGATGTCCATTGCTTTTGTGCTTTTCTAGTTCATGAGGTAGGATAATTGTGAACTTGAGTCATTGGCCATCAGTTACGCCACTACGAATTTAGCGGAAGTGGGTCTTGTCAGGTAGTTTTCTTTAGAAATCTTTGACCCTCTGGGTTAATAGTCTTCAAGATTTTTTTTTTCTCTCTCTTAGTGATCAGGGACAGGGTTTTGGTCTCAGCTCTAGTCCAGATGTTTTGCACAGGACCTGGCACATTGTAGATTTCTATAAAAATATTTGCTGATTGAATGTATGAAGCTGAAGTCTAGAAGTAGACATGGCATCTCCAGCTGTACGAAGGGCTTCAAGGCTTGCCAGGACCTCTGGCTCTGCTGGTAGGAACATGCCCCTTAATTCCTGGACTTCTTGTTCCTCAGTGACTTGGACCTAGTTTAAGCACATTAAGACTGGAGCTGTTACCATGAGCTAAATGCACTGCTCCCGAGGTGTCAGGCACTGAAGGCTGGGGAAGGATGGCCTCAATTAGCCACTAATTTGAAGAAATCCATGCTTAGTTCAGACATCTCCATAGGTGTGAACTACTCCTAAGTCACTGAGTTTGGAACCACATACCTGTGGTTTCTGGACCCTTGAGAATCTCTTTAAATGCAGCCTGTGGAAGTTTATCCGCTTCTATTAAAATGTCTCCCATACCTGTCCAAGACAGCAGGGCTTTGAGGGAGCTGTGCCGTGCCTTGCAGAGCTGTGTGAGGAGTGCTCCCCCAGCCTTCTGTTTGTGCTTCTTCCTAGGATTGTGGCCCTTGTTTGAAAACTACTGTTCATCCTGCCGAGGAGAAAGCCTTTCTCATTTTCTTTCCTTTTGTAGTCTGTTTACTTTTACTGTCACCTGGGAGTTCTTTGCCTTGGTTGAACATATTGAAAGATTACAGATTTTATTTAAAGACTTCTTGGGTTACCCCCTTGTGATTTCATTGGATCAAGTTGGACCTAGAATGCATCTAGAAGTGTAATTTTAATCTATAATTCTATCTGAAAATTTGGAATGTACAGAATTATCCATTCTGCCATTTAGAGGTAACTGACTCTTTTTTCTGTACATATTATAGAATGTTTATAGAACCTGAGCATCCCGGCCAGAAAACCTGAAATCCAAAATGCTCTACAATTTGAAAGTTTTTGAGAGTCACCGTGACAACACATGTGGAAAATTCCACACCTGAC